TTTACCACAATTTTTCTCCTCTAAAGAAGTACTGCAAGAGTCATGTAGCAGGCTTGGTCTGCTCCCACTTTTGACTAGAGCCTAATGTTGTGGGACAATGAAAAATCTCTATTACTAGTGACTTCAGTCTTTTCAGGATGGCCTTATGACCTTTTTACTTTCCTGGCATGTGCAACTAATTGACAAGCAGAGCTATATTTTCCATCTTGCTCCACCTGCCATACAGTCATTTCCATTGCTCCACAGTCCTCAATTTTTGTGCACAAAGTGGATATTATTAAGTCTAATATGAATGCCTGGAAAGTAAAATCTGTAAGATGGTTGTTGTCTGGGAAAGCAACTGTTCTTCTGGGAATAGTCATAGAGCTTCCAAAATGAGATTTGTGGTTCTCCAAGCCGTAGTAATGATTTCAGAAAATATGGATATTTTTTTCTCTGTCTTGTGTAAAAGCTGAGTAAGACCTTAGTTTGGAGTATCTTGAAAAATGTTTAATTCTTAGACACAACAATATGTATTACTTAATTCCAATTAAGTTGTTCTTCTAATTTAGTGTCCAGTGGTAGTGTTGAGAAACACATGTCAAGATTCCTATCTCAGTAAGCTACTTTATGCAACATTAAAATTGTTCCAAATTTTGGGCAGCAAAAGGCTCCTCTTCTCGTCAATGTCTAGAATAAATAAAATCAGTTTTTAAGAACATGCAAATATTGAAGAGTTTAATCTAATATTTCCAGCTGGCATTTAAAACATTGATGAATTTTCATATCTGCAGCCCATTTGAACTGTCTGCTTTGGTACTCTGAAGATGTAACCTCTGTGAAGTTACATCTAATAACCTCTGTGAAGCTACTCTTCCTTTATGCTGTGCTAAGAGGCTTTTTCCAACATTCTCTTGATGCACCGATCTTGTTTTTCCTCCTTCCAGTCCTGTTTCCCTTTGACACCCTACTTCCAGTCCCAAATACCAGGGGTTTATTACAGCTCCATTAAACCAACAGTAATGGTCAGTAGCTGTAAATCACATCTCACAGGATTCTGGTTGGAAATTCAAAAAAATTTTTCACCAACAGGCAGCCCAGCAGTGGAAATGACATGTAGAGGGGGGAAGGAGTCTCCAGCTTGGAGGCTCCCAGTAAGAAAAATCCATCATAATGGGATGCAGTGTTAGTGGTACTCTGGCTCTGAGCAGGACGTTGGGTTTTCCAGGCTGGTTTCTTATGTTTCTGTGACTCAGTGAAGGCCTTTTGTAGCACTGGAGAATGTTAAGGAATCACATCCACTTGATGCCGTTCCATTACATTTCCCATTCATCAGCCCAAAAGAACTGCACAGTACTTAGCTTGGTTTGTTGCTCAGGCTGTCACAGGGTCTTCAGCCTGTGTTCCCTAATCAGAGAAAATTAGGTTTTGCTAATAAAAGAAAGTTGCTAAAATGAATGGAGGAAGCTCTCCTCAGTGTCTGAATATAAAGGAAAAGGCATAAATATGCAGATCAGCTAGCATGTGCTCTAACAAGCAGCTTATTTCAGAATAAAAGCCTTTGCACCAAATAGATCCATGAGACTGGAAATCAATAAGGGCATCAGAGGTATCAGGCTTTAGATCAGCCATCCAAGACCCAGATTTGTTGCACTGGTCAACCAACATGTAAATATGAGTGTGATCTCTTGATAACTCTAGGTGTGCCCACAGTTCCCCAGCCCAGGACAGGGTTCAGGACTCTGACAGCTGAAGGGCATTTGCCAGCAGTAAAATACAGGGTGCCACGCAAGAATGGAATGGAATGGAATGGAATGGAATGGAATGGAATGGAATGGAATGGAATNCAGCCAACCCACATGGAAGCCCTCTAGTGAAGGCCTGCCCACCCTCACTCTCCACAGCCACAAGCACTTGGTGCTCCCAATGGGACTGAGAGCCCCCAGCCTGTCCAGACTCACACCTGGCTCTGGGCTCTCTGACCAGGACACCCTTTGGTGGCTTCTAGTCCCTGGCTAGTGCTGCTTGGTGCTTGAGCCAGCCCACACACAGCACACACTGTTCTCATTGGTGTTCTGGCAGCTGTGGGTGCCTTGAATCCCAGCACCAGTCTCCTGCTGGCCTGAAATCCCTCTCTATATCCATGCCCTTCTTGCTGGCTGCTTCAGCTCAAACTTTGCTAGCAAACCACACTATTATAACTTCTCTTGAACAGAAAATGTCTTAATTTGATAAAGTTCATGAAACAGAGGTTGTCATGTTCCACATACCCTTACAAGCTTGTCTTCCCACACTTTAAATATCACTAGTGGTGGAAGACTGTGGAGTAAGCAGGACAGAAGGAGACATCTTTAGAGCTGCTAATTGAAGGAGGAGAGACACCAAGGCTGAATAGAACAGTCCATTGAGGTTTAGGCCAGTGCAGACCCCATGCCCTGCAGCAGCCTCTCTGTCCGTGTCACTGCCTCTGTTGTAGCTGAGGTGTTAAGGCAAGTCCAGCCATGGCTTCCCTGACAAAGCACCACACCCTGCTCTGTGCCACGCAGTGCTCAAAGCTTGGGGAAGACACTCTTAGACCCAACATGACCACCCAGTGACCTAGGTCTCAGAATACTCTCTAACTTTTCCCTACCTTTTGTTTGTGATAGTGGTTGGACTGCTGCAGACAGTTTCCTTTGAGCAGACATCATAGTTTCTTTCAGCACAAATGCAAGCAGAAATTAAGAACCAATCAAAGAAACAGAGAATCTATCTTCACGTCCTGTTACTTTTGCACTAAAATAATTTTATGCTAATGTAGATTTTTATGAGAATTTAAAGTGACAACATAAAATATTTTGTGAAAATATAAACTAGAAATATTTTTAACAAGTAACAAAGCAACAAGGGTTCAGAGCTGATTCTGGGAAGTGTTCTAGTGATGACTTTTTAATGCTGTCCAGAGTGCTTGTGAGTTAATTCCAAAACCAGCAGGGAGGAAGCGCAACCTCCAAAAGCATGATCCCGTAAAGTAAGTTCCTACTGATAAGTGACCAAAGGCGGTTATTTAAAAATGCAGAAATAGAGCTGATTTTACAATCTATTGTTAGTTGAATTCAATTCAGTAATTCATTAGATGGTGTTTCTGTTGCTTAGAAGTTGGTCAGGAGCCCCAGAGGAGAACAAGCCGGATCAAAGCACCTTGAAAGACCAGTGACCAGAGACAGGATGGGCTGAGTCCTGGGGACACACACTGCAGAATTCCCAGCACAGGCGTTTATGGGATGCTGTTTTCTGCAAAGCAGAGTTCCAGTAGGAGTTACTGAGGGCATAGTGTGGTACCTGGGAGAACCAATAATTTGATGTAGGAGATAATTTGTACCCATCTGGAGAAGAAAATAAAGGAGGATGGGGAAATGAGGAGAAACAATATTGCTGGTCCATGGACAGGAATGGAAAAACTTGATAGAGGAAACACATTAAAAAGAAGTATTTTCTGAAGCATTTACTTCAGCCTGATTGGAAAAATGCCTAGGGTCATATTTAGCATAATAAGACTGCTACTTAACATGTTTGTGAAAAAACACCATGTCTAATCAGATTCAAATGTTTAATTTCAAAACTGAAAGTATAAAGCACTATTTAAAATAAAACGGTGTTGAATGCAAAATAAATGTCTGCAAATATCTATGTTTCTTTTGCCACGATTCTGCCTTAAAATTCTGACTTTGAAGCTGGTTTTACACCATGCCAGAAAGTCTCTATTTGCATCCTGTTTCTGGGTTCTACACTGTGACCTTCTTTCTGCTTTTGTGACAACAGTTTTGATCATTTTGAGTTTTATTGATGAGAGTACCATGCCCATCTATTACTAGACATAAATATATGCATTAATACATATATCACAGAATCAGAGAATGATTTGGGCTGCAAGGGACCCTAAAGAACCCTTCAAGGGATGGTGCATCCACACCTTGAGAGGGCTGAACATGAGCCATCAGTGTGCCCAGGTGGCCAGGAAGGCCCATGGCACCTGGCCTGGATCAGCAATGGTGTGGCCAGCAGGAGCAGGACAGGGATTGTCCCCCTGTGCTCAGCACTGCTGAGGCCACTCCTGGAATCCTGTGCTCATTTTGGGCCACTCTCTGCAAGAAAGACACTGAGGTGCTGGAGTGAGTCTGGGGCAGCAAGGCTGGTGAAGGGTCTGGAGCCAGGTCTGATAAGGAGCCCCTGGGGGTTTTTATCCTGGGGAAAAGGAGGCACAGGGCAGATATGTTTACTTTTGACAGTACCTGAGAGGAGCTTGTGGCAAGGTGGGGGTTTGGCCCTTGTCCCAGACAAGGCAGGAACAAGGGGAAATGGCCTTTAGTTGTGCATGGAGAAGTTTGGGCTGGATATTGGAAACATTTTTTCATTGAAAGATTGTTAAAATTGGGAATGGGCTGCCCAGGGAAGTGGTGGGGTCATCATCATTGGAAGTGTTCAAAACACAAGTAGAAGCGACATTTGCAACATGGTTTAGTGGGCATGGTGGCATCCAGTCAAAGGCTGGATCTTGGAGGCCTTTTCCAACATATAATAATACTGTGATACTAAGGACAAAACACAACAGAAAAAAATACATAAATGTCCTCTCTGCTACCTGGATATTTCCCCCAAAAAACCTTTTAGTAAGACTAAGGCTGTGTATTCAATATTCTTCCCAGAAAAGCAAAAATGCAAACTCCAACAGTCAGAAACATTCTACAGCACATGTGCCACAAAATGCTTTGATACATTTTTATTACTGGGATTCCAGTTTCTTCTGGAGGAGAAGGACAAACAAGAACTGAACTTCTCCCATTTCATCAAGTCAATCATGCTTCAATGGACTTTTGTACAAGAGGAAGAAGATGTCTGATTGTAGGACAATAGAAAGCAAAATATAATGGATAATGAGTTTTGATCCCAGGGGGTAATATTGGACATTTTCAGTTCCGTTTACTGGCATGCTTTGCGAAGCTTCTGTGCAAGTATAAATGGAGGCAGGTGAGACACTCTGCACACACCACAGCTCTGCACTGGAGGAATTGCCCTCAGCTCTTGCAGCCCTGCAGCTGACAGCAAGGTAAGAGGCACCCTTGGCACAGGACAGATGGAAGGGCTTCTTGGGCAACTGCTGTGAAGTGCAGGGCAAGTGCAGGAGGCTTTTGTGCTGGGCTGAGAGCTGCAGCACAGCCGTGAGGCTCTGCTGTGTGCGTGTGCAGAGACTGAAGCCATCTCTCAGGGCATGAGGAGATGGATGGCTGCTGCAGGAGAGACAAACCTCACCCAGGGACAGCCTGGAGGGGCCACTGATACACAGTTGTGGGGGGTGACTGGGAGAGTATTTACAGCTTAATCTTGGGTATGTCCCTAAACCAACACACACATGTCATGAGCCCACTCTTTTCCAGTTACTTTTATGTCTATTCTTTGTTCAAAATGTTTTATTTTTCCTGTTCCCCCTTTTCCCTTCTGGGTGTCCAACATTTTGTTTCAAGGTCCAAAAGGCTTCTTACAAGCTCTGCTTGTTTTCTGTCTTCCTTTTGTGCAGGCTGTCATCCAGCTCTTAGAGGAAGAAATTCAAACTCTAGAATTCCTACAGAGATGGGAAGAATCATCCTTTATGAGCGTGCCAATTTCCAGGGCATGTCCAAAGAATTCACCTCTGATATTGCCAATTTAAGAGATGTAGATTGGAATGATCTTGCCTCCTCGGCAAAAGTAATTGGCCAGCCTTGGGTGCTTTATGAGCATTCAAACTACGGAGGCAAATTTCTGGTACTTGAGGAGGGAGACCATAGCCTTTTTAGTTCAAAGATGAATAATAAGGTCAGTTCTCTGCAGATGATCACTGAAGATCTGAGCAATCCGGAGATCACTCTCTACGAGGATGCCAACTACCAAGGGAAGAGCAGAATAATAAGAGAAGCAACCAACCTGGCTGCGGGACATGACAATGACATCATGTCTTCCCACAAAGTCCAGAGAGGTGCCTGGCTGCTGTGTGAAAACAGTGATGGAAGTGGAATTCAATACCTTGCTCGAGAACGTGAAAACCTTCCAAATTACAAGGCAATCAATTTCAATGACAAGCTTTCTTTCCTGCGTCCCCTTCGTGCTGGCCGTTCTTATTAGAATGCAAATCCTCCAAAGCTGGGGAAAGATGCAGTCCCAGCAAGAAATTTAATACCTAGATCTCTGCCTCTGCTTTTATCACATTCTTTGTGATTTGTTTTAAAATGCCCCTGCGATACCATGGCTTCTGCTATTGTCTCTAATCCATTTTGTGTTGATGCCATTAAAGAAACTCTTGCAAGCAACAGTGAGTCTGTTTTATGTACTGTTTAGTGTCAATAAATATTGCCCTTTCATGATGTCTCTGTGTATCCAAAGTTTTGTGCAGTCATTTTGAGCCCTTTTCATGGATATCTCCTGCAAGATTTTATCTCCTTCTAGTTTCACTGTTCAGTAACAGTGGGTTCAGGCTTAACTCAACTAGTGCTAAAGTGTAGGTGAGCATAGTGATAATTGCTGTGATCCTGGCCAAACTCTCACCTGCAGCCTGTACCTAAGTATCACATATTTGATTGTGTTTTAAGACATTGATCACACTGATGATACAGCCTTTTACTGCCCAAATTACATAATCAAACAGACTGTTCTCACAAATTTGAATTGACTGAATGCTTGGTCCCAATGGTAAAACTTGTATGATTTTTTTAAACAGCTGCCTCACTTTCAATTAAGTTATTGATTAAGAATTTAACTTTTTCTTGGTTTTCTTTATCATAGTATTCCCCTCCCTTATGCTGCTGTGTTTTCTTGGCAGTGCCTTATTTGACCTTTGAATTCAACAGAGCAATACTATGGCAAAACTTAAATGAGATTCTCTATCCTGGTAAATCAAATCTCAAAAACTGTGAAGCATATTGCTGACAAAAGCAGTAATGAGAGACCTTCTTTCAGAGATCTGTAGAGGTCATCAGGAAAATAAATGTGACATGGTCAAATGTGTGCAGCTGCAGCAGATTGTCCCTATAAGGAATTCTCCTCCTTGGACTTGGAACAAACTTGCCTTTGTCATTTGTGTGGTCCCAAAGCCCTATTCCTGTTCACACAGTCCCACGGATTGGCAGAGTGCAGTTCACCTAGACAAACACCATCAGCCCCAGAGCTCAGCACAGTATCAGGACAGGTCCCCCAGGCCCCTGGCCTGTTTATGTTCTCTGTGCCCCAGAGGCAAGTGCACTCAAACTGGACCTGGTGCTGTGAGACACCTTCCCAGGGCAATGTCACCTGTGGGGATGTCGTGGTTTGACACTGGCCAAACACCAGGCGCACACGAAAGCCACTCACTCAACCTCCCCTGCTACAGCTGGACAGAGGAGAGAAAAATTTAACAGAGGGCTCACTAGCTAAGATAACGACCAGGAGGAAACACTCCAAGGTCAAAACAGGCTCAACTTGGAGGTACAACCAAGTTTATTACTATCAGCATCACAGCAGGATAATGAGAAGTAAAATAATTCCTCAAAAACACCTTTTCCCCTCCAGCCCCTCCATCCCACTGACAGCACAGGGAGACAGGGGGTGGGGGTTTTGGTCGGTTTGTCATCCAAGGTTTTCTTCCCCTGTGCAAGGAGACAGGTTGTTTCCCTGTGAGACTGTGGGACCCCTCTCACAGGAGAAAATTCTCGGTGAACTTCTTCAGTGTGGTTCCAATCTCACTAGCAGCAGCCCTCCCAAAACTGCTGCAGCGTGGGTCACTCTTCCTTGGGGTGCAGTCCTCCAAGGACAGGCTGCTCCAGCCTGGATGTAGGGGCCCTTTCCCTCCACCAAGCCACCCACTGGATCACAGCCTCTTCCACACTTCCTGAGTGCCTGCTCTGGCATGGACACTTCCCCCACTGGCTGCAGGAGGATCTCTGTATTCCCCATGGATCCCCACAGGCAGCAGGGGCACAGCTGCCATACCATGCTGCCTTGGAATTTTGACTGCAGAGGAATTTTGGCTCCAGTGCCTGGAGCAGCTCCTCCCCTCCTTCTCCACTGACTTGGTGTCCCCATGTTGTTTCCCTCACATGTTCTCACCTGCTCTTCTTCTCCATCTGGAATAAAAACTGTGCCCCCACCTTTGTTTTGGTTTCTTCTTAAGTACATTATCACAGAGGTGTTACCACTATCTCTCATTAGCTCAGCTGTGACCAGCAGCATGTCCATGTTCAGAGCCATCAGGGATTGGCTCTGCTGGACATGGTGGAAACTTCCAGCAGCTTCTCACAGAACGTGGCCCTCTCACTGCCAAAAACCAGGCCATGCAAAACCACACACAGGGGAATACAGCAGCTTATTGATCTAGGGCAGTTCCCAGTGCAGTGACACCCAGGCTCAAGGAGAACGCAGCTTGAGGTGTCCTTAGCAGCAGCACAAGATGGAATGAGCTGCTGCTCGTGTGCACTTCCAGACCTCACAAATCTGACAGAGTGACAAACAAGGCAGCAAAACCCAGACAAATGTTTTTGAAAAGGCTGGGAACAAACTGTCTATTGGTATCAATCAGGCCAGAGCCTACCAGCCAGGCTTTTCCCCACAGAAACCACAGCAAATGTTTATACCAGAGAAAAATCTCCAGCATGTTTAAGAGATGACCAGTGACAGCCAGGCAGGTGTCTACTTGTCACTTTAAGCTCCCCCTCTTCCTGTGGTCACTCAGGAACCCAGGCAGGAGATACTAATAGAATCACCAAGTGTACACAGCAGGTGATGAGAATCCTGCTGGGAATCTTATACTCGGCACGTCTTTCCTTGGAAATGCCCATGACACTTCAGATGAACTCAGAGCCTTGCAAACATCTCCAATATCATCTTTCAGGAGGTGTGAGTGACAGGAACACACTGGAAAATCCCTGTTGCCTGGGGAGAAGTGCTGATTGTTGAATATGGGAAGTAAAACTGCTGCCTTAGGAGATCAAGATGACTGAGGAAGACAAAGGGAAGGGGTACCTTGGCTAAATTAGCAAGTAACCAATAGAATCATACTCACAGAATGGTTTGGATTGCAAGACACCTTTAAGGATCCTGTAGTCCATGGACAGGAATATCTTTCACTAAATCATGTTACTCAGTGTCCCATCTAACATTGGCTTGAATACTTCCAAGGAAAGTACATCCACAGCTTCTCTGGGCAACATATTCCAGTGTGTCACCTCCTCACAGTAAAGAATTTCTTACTAATATCTATACCTACCATCATTCAGTTTAAAGCCATTACACCTTGTGTCATCATTGCATGTCCTTTTAAAAATTCCTTCTTCAGCTTTCTTGTAGTCCCTCTAGGTACTGGAAATTGCTGTAAGGTCTCCCCAAAGCTGCCTCTTCTCCAGGCTGAACAGCCCCAGCTGTCTTGGCTTATTTTCATGGTGGAGGTGCTCCAACTCTCTGACCATCTTCATGGCCTCCTCTGGACCCTCTCCAACAGGTCCATATTCTTATGTTGGGGGTTCCAGAGCTGGATGCAGCACTCCACTCCAGGTGGGATTTCACCAGAGTGGAATAGAGGGGCAGAATCTCCCTTGCCCTGCTGGCCATGCTGCTTGTGATACAGCCAGGACATATTTGGCTTTCTGGGCTGTGAGTGCTCACTGCCAACTCACATTCAGCTTCTTGTCGCAGACATCTTTTTGTCAAAATATTTTCTTAATATTTTTTCCCTTCTGAGAAGCTGAGGCCTCAAAGACAAAACATAAACAATGGTTATCTGCTGCTGTGGAATGCATCAGGTTTGTCTGTGATTGGGCCATCTTGAATGTTTACAATTAATGGCCAACCACAGACCAGATAGCTTAGACTCTCTGTCCGAACCACAGATCTTTCTTTTTCATTCCATTCTATTCTTAGCTTAGCTAGCCTTCTGAAGAAACCTTTCCTTCTATTTCTTTCTAGTATAGTTATAATGTAATATATATATATATATATATATATATATATATATATATATATATATATTATAAAATAATAAATCAAGCCTTCTGAACATGGAGCCAACATTCTCGTCTCTTCCCTCATCCAAGAACTCTTGTGACCACTGTCACAGCTTCTTGTCAGCCAAAGTCCCCAAGTTTTTCCCTGCACGGCTGCTCTCAGTCCATTCTTTGCCCAGCCTGTGTTGGTGCTTGGGATTGTCCCAGCTCACAGGCTGATGCTGCACTTGGTCTTGTTGAACTTGGCTCACCACTCCAGCCTGGCAAGACTCCTCTGGGTAGCATCCCTTCCCTCCATCACCTTGACAGCACTGCAGATCTGGTGTCATCAGCAAACTGACTGAGGGTGCACCCAATCCCACTGTCCACGTTGCCAGTAAAGATGTTAAACAATCCAGTCCCAATACCGGCCCCTGAAAAACACTGCTCATCACTGGTCTCTATTTGGACATTGAGTCATTGACCCCAACTCTTTGAGTGTGACCATCCAGCCAGATCCTTATCCATTGGAGCAGTCCATCCACCAAATTCAAGTCTCCCCAGTTTAGAGATAAGGATGTCATGCTGTCAAACTTCAAATGCTTTCCATAAGCAAAGTAGATAATGTCAAACAGTCTTCCCCATCCACCAATGCTGCAACCCTGTTGTAGACATTTTTTTTGTTGATGTAGACATATTTTTTGTTGATATAGACATATTTATTTAAAAACATAGCATTTTCATTTTACTCTGGAAATAGCTTACCATGAAAGGGATAACTTTCCCTTACCATGAGACCTTTCCCTTACCATGAAAGGGAAACAATCTACAGCTAGTACAAGGCACCTTTATTTAATACTGAAAATTCCTTACCTCACAAATTTTCCCAGCCCCTGTTTCATACTGGTCTAATAATCCATAATGCACTTTCCATAGCTTGTTGAAATAAATACATTGTATTTTCAGCAGGCAGTTTTGTGGTGTGGCAGGTGAGCCTTCCAAACCCTTGAAATTCCTTCTTTAAAAATGAGAATAGTGGGAAAGCAGCTCTCCTTGCAGAGCCTGGGGAGTTGCAGGGTGGGGCACACCAGATAGGATCCAGGTAGGACCTCCCCTACCCTGGGCACCCACTGGTACAGCCATTTGGCTGGAGGAGGTTCTGCTTCTCTAGTGCTGCTTGCTTTAATGTCTGCTGATGTTACCTGGAACTCCCATCCAGATTTTTTGTACTTGTCAGTACTACTTCATCTGGTCATGTCTGGATCCCTCGGAAAACTTGCTTAGGTCAAGCCTGAAAATAGCAGGGAGCTCAGCAGAGCCTGAACGTTTGGGGGTTGGAACTAGATGATTTTTAAGATCTC